TTTTATTTAAGAAAGGACTTGTGTCGCTAAAGTTTCGTCGGAAGGAATTTACGGAAAATTAAGTAACGACTGGAAGCGTAACAGTATGTTACCCATGAAATTATCAAAAAGTAAAAAAAGAGTACATTAACACTGAATCTGCATGAAATTTTAATAAAACAAAAAACAAGAGCACTGTGTTTCTTAAACACAAATGTAATAAGATCTACTGATTCAAATTACTAAGTGTTTTTTATGTAATGTAATAATAAAAATGTTTCACTGCTCCAAGCATCCTCTTTAAAAAATAAAAAAGAAGACATGGATGTGTACATCCAAAACAAGGTACAACAAGTTAGCCTATTGTTAGACCAAGCCTCCAGTTGAGAATTTAGTGTTGTCACCACAATAAAACTAATATTATCTGATTAAACTCTGGGTTTTCTTATTACTTATATCCTACTGAGTTTTAAACCTTGTAACGTAAAGCTATAATAATTGTATCTTTTATGTCACAGTACACGTTTTTCATTTTTAACTTTCACTTATTTAGGTTACATTAGGACTACACAGATGACACTGATTAATCCAAAATACTATATCATTATTGTAGAAGTTTCTCTTCTTTCATGTAAAAAATACTGAAAATTTAGTTACAGTGTTACACATTTAATTTTTTACAAAGTTGATGTAATCATACCATCATTGTAAAAATAGAATTCACAGCAGATAGAATGGATAAATTAAAGTGTTGTTAACACAATATTTCTATATTATCTGAATAGACTTTCTAGTTTTATTCTTTATCTTCCAATGGTTTTAAAACTTTGCAAGATAAATTTATAATTATCAAAAGTTTTACTTTACAAAACTGATTGAAGTTATTCTAATATTTATGTTGTTTGTCTTTAAATTTAGACTACCTGAAGAATACTAAAAATATTAGGTTTTTACTTTGGCTAAGTATGCATTTGCTCAGTAAATAAAATGAGTTATGATATTTGTTTTCCTTAGTTGGTTACAAAGCATTTGAGTAACTGAGTAGTTATAGATACTACACTTAGGGCTCCAACATTGTAGTAATTATGCTTAGGACATGTAAAATAATACTAAATTTTCATAAAACATGTTCAAAGTATTGTTGAAACAAGTGGATGATAAAAAAATAAATCTTACACCATTTCTAACATTCAACAATGCATGATTTTAAAGAGCAAGATCATCCACTATCCAGTATCTAATGTACCACTGTGGATATGCATGGGTTTTACGTGTTAGATATTGGTACTGTAGGTGACTCATTACTGTTTGCATGTTAACTTAGTTAATCTGAAATAATGCTAAATCAGAAACTGTGTATACATGTTTAATTTTGCACAAAGCTACTCAAGAGCTATCTGCACTAGTGATAGACTAGATGGAAGACAGTTAGTCAACAACACCCACCACAAACTCTTAGGCTACACTTTTTATCAATAAAAAGTGGAATTGACTGCCATGTTGTAACACCCCCATAGCTAAAAAGACAACCATATTCAGTGATGGGATTCAAACTCATGATCCACAGACTACAAGTAGTGTCCTAACCAAAACAGAAAATTAACTATTTTGATATAATATATAAAAAAGTAGGTGTTACCATTGAAAAAAACAATTTTTAAAAAGCATGTGTTTAAAAAAACAATTTTCTTAAGGCTAGTACGACCCCCGACATTATATTTAGGTTCACAATTTACCAGATAAAATATACATTTTCAATGATTTGGCATATTTATGCTTGCCTAGTATATATTTCAGTGCAACATTATTCTTTTAGATTCATAATGGAATGACACTGTGGTGAAAACACAGTAATTTTTAACTTGTTCATTTAATTTTCTGACTCTTTCTTCTAGACTCTTTTTAATAATTTGAAATTATTTCATCATATCCACTAATGCTTTGACCCCATTTCTTGGCCATGTGGTCATCAACCTATAGAGTTGAAATAAGTACATTCAAAGTTCTGTTTTATTTTCACCATTAATCTCACTTCTGACACCAATGTTGTAACATTGTTTTTTTGTTGAGATGCCTAATTTAAATTATTAGGTGAAATTAAGTCCAGTCAGTGTAACAATAACAAATTAGTTTATTTCTTCCATACCACCTTCACTTGTAGTTGTATACTTTTGTAACTTTTAGACCTAAGTTTACAAATGTCATTCCAATTGAAATACTTCGCTAATAAAGCTAATGCAAAAATGAGCTTACTTGCTCAATTTCATGGCTGATCAATCAGGTAACTGAATATATATGTAATAACTAACACTGATCCATATATTCACTGAATGACTAGCACTCTATCAACTGAAAAAACTGACTCAATGTTTCTTATATTTTTAACTGCTGTCTCACTTCTAGATAGTTGTTGAAGTTACTAGATTTTCCTGGCATCATCTAGAATGTTCTGGGACTACTTTTATAAACTTTTGATCTTAACGTTATGTGCCTCCTAGCTAACATCTAAATTAATACTGTTACGACAGTGGAAGTCACGTGACGCTGGGAGCATGCACACTTGAGTTTCTAGAAGGATCATGAATTATCAAAGAACCCCGCAAATGTCCGAGTGTTTGCCAGGCACCCTCTTTTTTTTAGTATATAAGCCCAGAAAATAAAGC